TTCATTTTTTGAAGGGGTGGTGGGGGTGATCCGTTTAGGGTGGAATTGGCGTCTTATTTTTAGTAGACACTGTAGGAATTTTTTTCGAAATTTTTGTCCCAAATCTAATTAATTAATTACTAGTCACGTGACTTATGAAGATTCTGTAGTATAGATAGAGTTATTTTATGTAGTTACAAATCCTTTCTCTATCAAATTTTTTGTACTTGCGCATGATTAGTTAAAAAAGTTGCTGATCTAGTAACGCTTTATATGCAGGATACTATTTATATGAATATAGGCCTACAACTGATAAAGGTAGGTATCTGAAAATTGTTTCTTCCAGAAGTGTTAAAATCAAAATGATGAAATTTAAAACTGGATATTACTCTCACGTTTTGAGTGTAATAGTTGTAAATAATTTTTAAATTATAATCAGTGGCAGTTCAAACTAGAGGAACGTTGTGTTTAAATTTAACTCTCACCTTTTTTTTATTTGAAACAAACATTAGATATTTCAGACAATTTCATAATAAAAAAACATTTAAATTATGTTTTTTATTAACTATTGTCGTAAAACTCACTGCTTGTGATTAATAATTTAAATCTTTAACAATCAGTTTTCAGAGTTTCTATTGTTTCTGTTACAGTTGTTTTCAATGGATGGATGGTTACAAATTATGATTCATATATTTTCTGCATGTAACATAATTTTTTTAACCAATTGTTGTTCAAATTGTGGCATCTTATCAAAAACATTAAGAGGATGTCATAGTATCTTTATTCATAGGATGTTAGAGTATCTTTAATATTTTATTTATTCGTTTTGTTTATTAATATGCAATTCCTGGTGGGTATGCTCAAGTGCCAATTACTTTTTAACCATTTTGTATTCAAAAACTTTTATAAATTAGCCAAATATGGATAATAAAGCACCGTTTTAACGGGACTATATACAGGGATGGCCTGAAGTACGGAATAAAATTCATATCTTACGTTAACTGATTTTGATTTTTTCCCATCTTTCGGTTATATAATAATTAATTTTTCTTCAACCCCCTAACCCCCAGCTACCCTTACTTTTTTTTTCAAATGGAAACATAAGGCATGAGGGGGCTCGTTGAAAAGCTTATAGAAAACCGAATCCAGCCATACCAAATAAACAAGTTTTATTTTTTCAATAACAAGTTTTTTTTCATTTAGAAATTGAAACAACTAGATAATTTACAAAAATAAACTCAATGTCGCAAATGCTGAAAATGTCCTCCATTCACTATTTGGCATTCTCCAAGACGATAGTAAAAGCTGTCCACAGCATTCTGAATGACTTCAGCTGGTAAATTATGCATCTCCGCCCTAATCTTGTTCTTTAAATTCTCAATATTATCCGGTCTGTCCTGGTAGACTCTTTCTTTCAAATATCCCCAAAGAAAATAATCCAGGGGTGTTAAGTCGGGGGATCTTGGCGGCCATTCAACTGTACCCCGTCTACCAATCCAGCGATTTGGAAACATTTCATCTAAGTATCTTCGAACATCAATACCAAAATGTGGGGGAGCGCCATCTTGTTGGAACCAAATTCTTTCATTCGGTATATCTGGATCAATTTCATGAGGGAAAATCACAGCTAGAGCAGGTATCAGGTCAAATGTTAGGAAATCCAGGTAGCGTGCGGCAGTAAGATTTTCTTCAAAAAAGAATGGGCCCAAGATTCTGTTGTTGATGATACCTGCCCATACATTAACTTTTTGTGGATGCTGCGTATGCGATTCGCATGTCCAGTGTGGATTTTCCTGGGACCAAAAGCGATAGTTGTGCCTGTTAACCACTCCATTTAAATAAAACGTAGCTTCATCCGAAAAAAGTACGTCTCGTTGAAAACCATTATTGTCGTCACACCGTCTCATCATTTCCTCACAAAATTGTAATCGCCTATCATAATCGTCTTCCAAAAGCTCTTGGACAAGACATACCTTATAGGGGTGGTATTTCTCTTGTTTCAGAAACATTCGAATTGCAGTTCGAGAAGCATCGTGATTGCGGGCCAATGAAACAGTTGAAGTATGAGGATTTTCAACAAGTTCTAATGCAATGTCTAATTTCTTTTCTTCATTCAAAGCACGTGCCCGTCCAGTTTTGGGCAAAGTCTGTACTGTACCGTGTTCCTCAAATTTGTGAAATATTTTACTAACTGTCCCTTGCGAGATTTGGTTTTCGGGATATTTCGCATTAAATAAATCGCGCACTTCAGCCTGACTTCTTATTTTGTCTCCACATCCAAGCAATATCAAGATTTCGATGCGTTGCCTTTCCGACAATACCATTGCAATTCAGTAAATAACTTGATTTTGACACAATAGTAACGTTTCGAACTCCAATTTACAACTAAAGCGAAAAATTAACCAGAAAGCCTGGCAAGTAAGTGGTGCCAAAAAAACGCAACATAAAAAATATATCTTTTTTGCGTTAGCAGTGATAGGTACAGTTTCAAATTCTTTATTTTATTCTGTGCAAATTCATGGAGGATAACACTGAAGATAATTAAATTTTATTTCACTTGTTAAGTAGGTGTTTTATACAACCCTAAAAACCTTGCTATTGAAAAAATAAAACTTGTTTATTTGGTATGGCTGGATTCGGTTTTCTATAAGCTTTTCAACGAGCCCCCTCATGCCTTATGTTTCCATTTGAAAAAAAAGTAGGGGTAGCTGGGGGTTAGGGGGTTGAAGAAAAATTAATTATTATATAACCGAAAGATGGAAAAAAATCAAAATCAGTTAACGTGATACGGCGTTTAAAAAAAAATGAACTCATTCAAAAGATATGAATTTTATTCCGTACTTCTGGCCATCCCTGTATAGGAACTATAAAACCTAAATGTTCGTGATTTTTTCAATCTTTTGCAGCTTACGTCTATCTATGTTATAGTCTGCCAAGATTTTGTCAAAATCGTTCAAAAAATTTTAGGAGGTTGTGTATACAGGCTATTACAAATTCGCTTCTCACTACAGGGATCTCGGAAACGGTAAGAGATACGAAGTAGCTTAAATGGGGCAAAATTGCGTAATCAGGGGACTAAAATTATGCCTCTGAAAAATCAAGGCTATCATGATTAGTTTTCGAAATATTTAAAAAAAACCGAAATTTTATAAATCCGTTTTTGTTTAATTTCAGCCTTATTTGAGGAGATATTGAAAAAAGAAGAACAGTTTCTCATGGCTAATTTTTGCCCTCTATCGAATGGCATAATCAATTTTTATATGTAACGTTTCGTATTTCCAGGACCATCATCAACTGAATTTTTTTAAATACGACCTTGGAAATTTTATTACATTTTTTGCAAGCCTTCATGGCCTCCAATACTGTACTGCTTTAGCCCTAACCAGATTCAGACGTTTTGTCTCGAAAAATTAATCTTCAGAGTATTCGTTCCAAATTTATCTTAATTTTTTATTTAGATTTCTCTAGGCTTGCTCAAAATTCAAATTCCGATCTATTTTTTTCAGGATATTCATACAAATACATCTGACATGCACTTTCACAGTTGCAGTTAGATACTGATTTAATAAATTTCGATAATATTATGCTGATCTTCATTTTTAACCTTTGCCAAAACGAAAATGTTTTTGAACATTTACTGAAATTTTTTAAAGAATAATATTCAGTTGGCGTTTTGGTTGTTCATATGCATTTTTAAGAATTAATTTGTCATAATAAAATGAAAATTGTAATAATGTTTTAATTTTGACACAAAAACTTATTAAGTTATGTATGGACCAAGTGATGGTAATAGTTAATAATAATAAATGTTTTATTGTAACGCATGGTGGTAATAGTTTAAATAACTAGATAGATTTCACAGGGTCTAACGACACTTACAATGTACGATAATTCAATAAACAAAGAAATCTAAATAAATAACTTATAACTTAGATAAATTTGGAACGAATACACTGAAGATGAATTTTTAGAGACAAACCGTCTGAATTTGGTTCGGGCTGAGACAATACAGTATTGGGGGTCATGAAGGTTTGCAAAAAATGTAATAAAATTTCTAGGGCCGTATTTAAAAAAATGAAGTTGATGATGATCCTGGAGAGACGAAACGTTACATACAAAAATTGATAATGCCATAGAGGGCAAAAAGTGGTCATGAGAAAGTGTTGTTCTTTTTTCAATATCACCTCAAATAAGGCTGAAATTAAACAAAAACGGTTTTTTCAAATATTTCGAAAACTAATCATGTTAGTCTTGATTTTTTAGAGGCATAATGTTGATCCCCTGATTACGCAACTTTGCCCCCATTTAAGCTACTTCGTAGCCCTCACCGTTTCCGAGATCCCTGTAGTGAGAAACGAATTTGTAACAGCCTGTATATTTTCTATAAAAACTTTTGTAAATTAACAAAATCTTTATGAAAATATAACTCTCATTCGAATGGAAGCTACTGAAGTTATTGGAAAAAATATCGAGCTCTTCCAATACCACCTATAATTTTGATCCTAATCTAAGTTATAGTCTTGTTAAGATCTTATTTATTAATTTTTTTTGCGAATTCACGTGAGTACAAAATAACGAAAAAAATTAAACAATATCCATGAAGAAAAATGACGATGATAAGTTTTCCGGTCCTAAACGTTACTAAACAGTACTACAGGGTGATTCACAAACGGCGATCAAAAAATGAAACCACACTGAAAGAAATGCGTTTTATTCTTTATTAGAATTCTATATGCCATTATAAGACCATTGTATACTATATGTGACAGTTAAACAGGTGAATATTGGATATAAAACGCGTATTGCTAGCACAGTTGTATAGTGACTATAAACCTTATTCTTTATTAAATTATTGTATAACTAGTATACAACGTTTTTTATACCCTTTACGAAATAATAGCAATAACTGTTATTAAAGTGTTCCATATCGTTATTAGAACATCTAGTACTGGTTATAAGTTTTATAATAATAAATGTATTAAACTGTTGTATACTCTGTATGAGTTAAAAACANGAGGTGGATGGGGGACGATCAGAGCTATTACAAGGCCTCCAAGGGGAAATTGCCAATTAAGTGGATGAGCCCGGAAAGTATTAATTTTAGGAGGTTTACGACTGCCAGTGATGTTTGGATGTTTGGTGGGTAGCACAGAGAGTATGAAGTATTTTATATTCACTCGTCAATTATTATTTCAGGTGTCTGCATATGGGAGATTCTAATGTTAGGTGTAAAACCATTCCAAGGTGTGAAGAACAACGACGTGATTGGTAAAATAGAAAACGGTGAACGTTTAGCGTTACCGCCCGATTGTCCCCCTCGCTTGTATTCTTTAATGTCGCAATGTTGGTCTTACGAACCAAGTAAAAGGCCTAGTTTTAAGGACATCAAGGAAATACTTCAGGAGATTTTATCTGAAGAAAGAAGTGCTCAACAGGAAACGCTACGGAGAGAAAACCGTAGAGCTGCCGCCATGTCTTGGGGCCCCAATGACGATTTCGCGCCCCCACCAAAGCCTAATAGGTATCCCATGCAAGGTAATGATCCATTTTAATTGTTTTAGAAATCTAACATAGCTATAAAAAACAAAATGGAATTATGAGAATTTTTAGGATTAAATTCAAAAATATTAATTATACTTAGGTGATTTTAACAAACCGGGAATTTCTAATATAAATGTGAACAGCCCATCTGGCATAGAATCAAATATTAGGTACAGAAATTTTGATTGAGTGTTAAGTAATGGCCATTCAATAGCACTCCTCCCAATCCATCTATGTATTCAGCAATATTTGATCCAGGAATTGCCGAACACCAATATATGAAATGTTGTACCGTCCTGCTGGAACCATATTCTGTCAAAGTTCATGTCTTAAGTTTTGTAAAGCAGGTACAATTTGATTACGTAACATTTTTTCGTACTTTTGGCCAATTAAATTACCATCAATTACAAGCGGACGAATAATGGTAGTATCAATAATACCAGCCCACATATTTATTTTTTGAGGTCTCTGGGTGTGTTCCTCTCTTATCCATTGAGGATTTTGATCACTCCAGTATCTCAAATTGTGACGATTTACTAAACCATTAACAGTAAAAGTACATTCGTCGGAGAAACAAATATTAATTATAAAGTTAGGGTCGTGGTCAGCTTTTGCCATTATTGTTTTACAAAAATCAAGCCTTCGATCATAATCATCTTCACTTAACTCTTGCAGTGAATGTATTTTGTTAGGTTTATAAGAGTTTATTTCTAAAATTCAGCAAATAGATGATCTACTACTTGCATCATGTTCTCTAGCAGCCTTACGCACAGAAGGTTGAGGATCTTCCACAAAATTGCAATACTTTAACAGTGTTATTGTCATTACGGTTCCAGTTTCTTCAAACCTGTGTATTGTTCTGCACACAGTTGATTTTCATACTGGCGTTCTGTTTGGAAACGTATTATTAAATAAATGAACCACTTGATCGAATGACCTTTTGAGATCGCCATATCCTCTCATCATCAAAATCGTCATTATTTCTCTTTCATTTAGAGCTCACTCACTATTAATCTAGATATCTTGCTGTTCTGGGACTTTTGGGACACAGTGTATATGTATTTAGCACAAATATGAGCCTATTTGATATTTTTGTTTCTCAAATTCAATTAAATTTTTTTCCGTTGTGAAAATTCTCTTTGTAAGCCTAAAAATCATACCCTAGAAGCATATTAGAATATGTGCCGCAGTTATTTGGTTTGCAGTAGATATACAGCGTGTCCCGTTTTTCAGGTTAACACCTCTGGAAATGTGAGAAGGCTGTGGACTTTCCGCAAGCCAATTCTTTTACAAATGTTACCCTGAAAGGAGGTTATATCCTACTAATCATTTTATTGATGTCACAAAAGCCTGGCCTACTACAATTTGTTAAAAGGCTCGTTTTTCCAGAAAGTGGTATTAGGCATTTTTTTTCAAAAAGATAATATTACCAGGCTATTCAACACCCATTAAAATACCCATATAACAAATTTGAACGACAAATGCCTTTTAAGTGTTTTTTTATGTGGTGTCAAACCTCGAAAAATAAGACAACTAAAAATTATAAATAAGTTTGTCAAAGATCGACATAAAAGTGAAAACAAATACCAATCGGACAAAGAAAGAATACAGGCACTATAAATTTAATACTTTTAATTATATTAATTAATTATAAAAATAATAACTTGCAAAAATGTAATGAATTATAAATGCTAAGTTCTTAAACAAAAAAATTGCAAAACGTTAATATAAATTAAGTTTTAGTTTTCTTCACCAAACCTCCTTCCAGTCGAACACATTTTTCTAATCCTCTTCTTAAATTTAAAAATAATTTACATAACCGTCTTGAAGTACATAATATCTGCACAAGCTTGTTTTATGTAATTCATTAGGTCATCTAAATTATTTGGCCTGTTTTTATAAACTTTTTGTTTTATAAAACCCCAAAAGTAAAAGTCCATAGTTCGAGAAAACTAAAATTTAATTTATATTGTTTTGCAATTTTTTGTTTAACAACTTAATATTTATAATTCATTACCTACATTTTTTGTACTTTAATTATTACTTTTACTATGGCCGCAATTAACAATAAGTGTCTGTATTTTTTCTTTGTCCGATTGGTACTTGTTTTCACTTTCATGGCAATCTTTGACCTGCTTATTATAATTTTTAGCTGTCTGATTTTTCAAAGCTTAGCACAACATAAAAAACACTCAATAGATATTTGTCGTTCAAATTTGGAATATGGGTATTTTGATGGGTGTTGAATAGCCTGGTAATATTATCTGTTTGATAAAAAAATGCCTTATACCAATTTCTGGAAAAACAACCCTTTTAAAAAATCGTAGTAGGCCAGGCTTTTGTAACATTAATAAAATGATTAGTAGAATATAATCTCCTTTCAGTATACTATATGTAAAAAAATTGGCTTGCGGAAAGTCCACTTCTCACATTTCCAGAAGTGTTAACCTGAAAAACGGGACACACTGTATGATATGACAAATAGTAATCATTCTGTTATTTATTCGAATAATGAAATTAATGACAATAGTCATCATTTTAATGATTTTATTTGGGTACATGCCCAAAAACACCTCCATTTCCACGAACACAGGCGCGATATGTACCTAATTTGTTTGAAATTTATTGTTGCTTGATTCTGATGAAAAGCATTAGGTATTTATTCTTTCTTCTAACAGCGCAGAATGTCAAAGTTGCTATCGCAGCCTACTGTGTAATTTTAAACCGGATTTTATTTGAATATCGAAGTGTATTTTCAGTTCGTTTCTTAAGTTTTACTTGAAAATCAGTATTTTTTTCCAAGTTTAACACCCTGTATTTTTTGACGAAGCGTCTTAGATAAAAACTTTATATGAAATACTTTCCTTAAAATTCACCAAAGAATAAGAGGTTTCATTTTTGGTCACCGTTTGTGAATCACTCTATATAATATGTACATCATTATATCCTGGAGAAAATGACAAAACCAATGGCGTCCAACTATTAATAAATTCGTATTTAATATAACGAATTTGAAATAATTGTTTCAAATTTTCTAATAATCCGTTATAATTTAATAATTGATTGTTGCATAAAAAGTGCCTCTAGGTTTTTTTTTTGTCGACGGAAAGGCAAGTTGAGAAAGTCTTTCATTAAATAATGTTGGTACTGTCTTTTGAAGAACGACTTTTTATTAAATTAATAATAAACTGCAACATTTGTCTTATTTGTGTATGAATGGCATTTTTCCGGCCCAGTAAGTGAAGTAATGAGAACGCTTGACTGTTTTGTGCTAACCGCTATACTTTACAATTTGTTAAACTGTTAAACTACAGTAGTTTTTTTTTTCGTGAATATTTTTAAGCGATGGTTTGTTCATTGGTAATTTAGTATAAATTTCCATCTACAAATCTAATTGACAAATCATGCAATTTCCTGACAGGTGTGCCGAAGTCAATTATATTTACCAATTACTTAATTAAACTTGTTTACAGCGTACCAAATACATAATGGAAACAAGTTTTCTAAAAGACAAACTCATGAAATGACTGTTCGAAAACAATAATTTCAATTTTTTATATTCGCCACTCTTTTTTGGGTAGTCAAGGCATTATTTATTTTTCCGGTTATCTAACAACAATTCCTTAACGATACCAATTTACCATCCAAATGATCACTCAAGTGTTGCTGCTTTAACATTTTTTATTCTAAATGTATTTAGAATATTTGCATTTTATAAATTAGCATATTAATTACCTACGAATTAATTTACAGTAATGTATATTCTTTTATCTGTGCTGCAGTACAAACATGTCAGATATGCATCATTCAAGAAACACTTTTAATTTTAGATTATTTTCCAAAATATTTAGATTTGGAGCTACTTCCTTTCTAATATGCCAATATCTCCCGATAATCGTAATTGGTAATTGTGATGAGAATTATTCTCTTCTGTTCAGAATTTGGAATTAATACCAGAATATCTTTTTACATTTTATTAAAATGTACCTTGAAAACCTTATTCAAATTTCTTCTGAGGAAGATATTCATATTTTTATGTAACATAATTTTTAACGATATTTTAACATTTAATATATTCAAAATTTTGTTTTATTTTGTTTTTTTTTTAGTTGAATAATACTACTATAATCGTTAAGACTTCAAAAGTTTGCTCAGTTTATCAAATTTATAATATTTTAATTCTTTTCATACTGGAACTGGAAAATAAAATAGAATTTGATTTGTCAGTTGATTTGCGAAGCCCATACTAGGTACTGCTTGGTAGTAGCGTTGAGTGAGATTTATCACTAAACGGTAGTAGATGGCTGCAAATGAGTGATATTTATGACTAATCAAACAAATTCGATACCTAATTATTTATTTATCATTAAGTCTATTAATTTGTTCGTAACTACTATTTCTGCAAAAAAGTCATTTTTTATAAAACTATTTTCTTTTGCCATATTAGTATTCGTATATTAATATTACGTTTACTACTTCGTTCACCAGAAATTTGAATGTTATTTCATGTTGAAACTGAAGTTTCAGATTATCAAATGATTTGAAGAACGCATCAGACAAAACCCCAATTTAAAAATATTTTCAAAACATTGATATCATTAGTTAAAAGACTACAAATTATATTTTTATTTGAATTTGGAAAACTTTTGAATAAACAGATCAAAAAGCTATTTTCCCTAACCTTTGGCTAACTTCTACTAATTTGTATCTTTTTATTTCTTGAGCCACTGAGTGCCTGCTTTCCCTGGTTCTTGTTTAAGCCACTGGGTATTTTGAATTCACTGGTCCCTTTTTTTGTGGCACTGTGTATCTTGTAATAATACAATTTATTAGAGTTGCCTACTTCTTGTTTACTATTTGGAATTACAGTCCGATCTTTGACAGCTGACTTTCGTCCAAGGTTTTCTTGGTAAATTTCTTGATAACTGTTTTTATTGGTTTGGACTTGACTTTTAAACTTGTTTGTTTGTTTTTATACTTGATTCACTTTGATTCATAAATTCACGCCTTTAATGTTTTGAGGTTATTTTTCAATGCAGTTAAAATTACTGATTTATTTTCTTTTAGAGTAACGTCCACTGACTTATTTTGATTTTTATGAAATTATTCTAGAAGCTCCATACTATATGAAAACTCTTTAAATGTAATAATAGCTCCGTTTTGTCCATTTTACAAGCTTTATTTTGATATACATCATTTACTACGATGAGGTCTTTATGTTTTTTTATGAGTCCGGTTTACGCTACTCTAACTTTCACTTTTTAATAATTAAGATTTTTACACAACCCTTTTTTTACATAAATCTATCTATCTAAATTTCTTTCTGTTAATAAAAAAATTTCAGAGTTTTATTTCATCGTCAGTAAAATTTGATTTCTTTATTTTTTTAGATTTTCTGCAATATAATCTTTAGTCAAATGGTGTACTGAAAAGCTGGTTTAGTCTTTCTGATATGAACATTCTGGTTATTTGAACAAAATATCGAATTAATGCCCATTTTCAAAATTAGTAGGTTCTTAGTAGGTAAAATATTCTAGTTGTCAAAATTTTAATTTAAATATTTTTATTTAAAATAAACTGTCTTAGGGATATATATAATAATGCAAGTGCATCTATTATTTTAGCTCATTTTATTCATGTGTGTGTGGTTTTTGTATAAATATAACTTTCTGGGTATCAATGTTCTGTCATTTTGGTTTCGGTTTGACATTTTGAATAGTGAATTATTCGACCTCTGCACCATGAAAGAGATATGAAACCATTTCATAGAAATCTATCAAACATTGTGCACCATATGGAAACAATGCAACATAGAAGTGTGCAATACCAATCCCTCGAAGTATTAGGAATAAGAAAGAGAGCAAAAAATAATCCATAAGTTACATTTCACTATTTTGACTCAAAGAACTTGGTAGATTTCGACACGAAAATAAAACGACGTTTTTTGGACAGTGATAAAACAGGAAAAGAGAAACCTGGTGCCATTTTTAGTGATTAGAACTTTGGTCAAAGAATGAAGTTACATGTTAAACTTTAGGCCATTGATTATAATTCTTTTAATTTGAATAATTTTATAGTGAGTTTACCTATTGCGAGTAAAAATATTTGTCTTAAACGGGTTAACGGGTTAGTAATGGGCATTTAAGCAACTTTGTTTAATTGCGAATTTTATATATGGATAAGCAAAAGACAATTATTATATTTACCGTACAAAGACAATGCAATCCCGCAACCCTTGTGTGTTTACTGACCACGGAAGAGCTAATAAAGCACACCGTGCTCCAGGCGGTCGGTGTATGTCCAACAGACCAAACACTCAGTATACGCTTATTATCACATACGGATTGCATAGTAATATGATCAGTAATCAGCGTGGGTACCTGTCTAACAGCTTATAAATTCTGCCTTTGTTGCTGTGTTTGCATTTAGCTATATTACTGCAGGTAATGAGCTTTTGGTCTGTTAAAGCTTTTCATGCTACCAATGGTTATTTTGTTAATTGGTTTTAGGTATTTACGGTAGACGACCCTTAACATGTTCATCAGATGTGATTGATTCTAATGGGGTTTGAAATTTTTTATTGTTAATTTCTCCACTGCCCTTTGAATCTGTAAAATACGCTTAAAATTACATGTATACATATTAATTGGGTTACATGGCAAAGTCAGCATGAATGCTAATTAACACACATTGAAGACATGGTCGCGTGGATACAGCAACAATGATTAAAACTAAATATTGTATGCGCCTGTTTGGGTTATACACCAATTTCACATAAGTCGCATCTTCTAATGCGATTTCTGTCCACATCACACCAAGTGAAATTTTCATACTGCATGTTAATATGATGCAACTTCATGAGTGAAACTATTACTACAGAGTGGACGAACTTTACTCAAATCTGAGATTTTTTTGTTTTAAGTTTTCTGTAGGTAATCTGATTCAAGTTTAACTGCTTGTTTGTTAATTCTTATTAATACTTGATTATAGTGAAATTATTTATATCGTTTTAATATTTGCTAATTCATTTGATATTGTAGTTAGAAAAACTATTTGAGTTGCATTTTATACATATTAGAAAACAAAACTTACATTTCAATGCATTTTTTGAAATAGGTGTATTAGATGGAGTCAATAACGAAAAAGGAAACTTGATTTCACAAAATTGATTTATTCATTATTATAGTGGATTTAACACCGTAAAAAAAATGAGTACATTTTAACTCGAATTCAACAATTTTGTTTGTTGAGTGAATGTTCATTAACCATTATTTGTTAGTTGAATAAAACTTACATTAGTAACATTGAAAAACGTTTGCCCATTAGATATACAGAACAAGAGAGCCCGTTTAATTGTCCATATTTTTAGGGGAAATTAGGCCAGGGGGCAGCACGATCAATGCCATCTAAGATCTAAGAAAGCGTACCTTAAAAGGAGGATAATTGTTACTTAAACTATAACAATAGGGCAATAAAAGTACTACATGTAATAAATAATAATGATAAATAACTAATTTGTTAAATCTGAGGGTGTCGATCGCAGTGCCCTCTAGATCCTGACGGCCTACAAACGTAAACATTTGTGGACTAGTTATGGTTAGTATTATCTGATAGCGTAACTTTTACAACTAATGTTTTGATTTAGTTACATTATGTTCTCATTCTCACATTCTTCTAACTAAAAATCTATAACCGGTATTTATTCTGAGAATGTCACGCTCCCCACCCATGTTTGCGAACGTATTTTATGAGCGACCCCATACCAAAATAATTTCACTCATAAATTATTTTGATTTTATACCTTTATTTTTTACTGTGCAACACATATAAATCAATGCAAAAACTTACAATTTTGATCTTGTTTCGGCAGTAGATGATTTTGTTGATCATTTTGTAAATGATAGATTACATATCGAAAGCATAATCAGCTTCTTGGTGGTGTTTTTTTTTTTGTTGTGTGTATTATTATGTAACTAAATGTAAGCAATTTGCTAGAACAGTGGGATTACCTACTCAAAAAGTCAAATATACATTTGAAAGTAAATATCGTTATTTTATGGAAAGGTTATTTTTATCTTATTTTGTTCGTTGTTTTTTCGTTTTTCTTAAAATATACCTTATACTCATTTCGCTGTTTTTTTTTAATTTTTCCCTTAGTTTAAAAATGAGAATGTTATTAAAAAAAACTTTTTTGAAATGACATATAGATATATAATATTGCAAGAATTAGGTTAGAACTGGAGGATGAATCAGAAGATGTAGAGAGGCATCAGGTAGACAGGTATACATATGGTCTTAACAAATCTAAGACGAAATAGGTTGAGCCTTGATCCTTGAGCCCTAAACCAAATGGTGGGGGTCCTGACAGACCATTGCAGACTTAGGAGGTATTTAATTTTAATAGGAATTGAGGAGGACCCGTTATGCTCGATATGTGGAGAAGGCGAGGTTACCCCTATCCATCTACTAGGACAATGCACATCCTTCAGGAGTTTAAGACATAAAGTCTTTGGTATCGAAGAGTTGCAAGAGGATGAGGTGAGAGACATGCCATGTCATGTCAGGTAGATTCGAGAAGGCTCAGAGGCAGGAGTGGATAGGTAGGTGACCTAACTGACAGACTGAGGCACCCCCAATCTACTATTACTGTTAGAGCATTGCACTATTACAACACTCTAGATATACATATAGATATGTAGATATATCTAGATATATAAATATAAAGTATTGTATATAGAGTATTATTGCAAAAATACCATGAATATTCTTGTTCCAATTAAATAATAAATCCTCTATACAATCCTAAATTTATTTTGGTCATAAGTATTGCGTTGTTAAGTCATGATTTTTTTAAATGTTTTAACTATTCATATAAATTTAAATAACTCTTGGATCACGAGTTAGTTATTATTATAACTTTTAAGAGGATTTTATAGGAAAATAGTGTTAAAACAAAATAATTTTCTACAGTGTCCAAAATTCTTTTCAGAACATGGATATTTTAAAATTATTTTTATGCTTTTTATTTTATTACATGTGGTAATATAACTCTCCATGCTCTTAATGCTTTATACCAAGAACTCTATCTTTATATTTAGTGAAATAATTCAAATTCTGTTGAGAATCAATAAAAACTAATTTTATAAAATAACAGTCTGTAATGATTTTAAGAACTCGTAACATAAATCTTGCTACACGATGAGGCAAGTCCTTAAAATAAAGGTTTGGTGGTATTGGAAATGTGGAATTTGAAAAGAAATCTTGCAGAAAATGTATTTTAAATTAATAAAATGAGTTGACAATTACATTAATAGTCGAAAATATCCGGAATATATTATATTGTTTCACTTTTCATGGAGTTATATTTCTCTTATTTAAAATTGAAACATTTTCACATTTGAACACGATATAATTATGTGCAAAGCGGATGGCTTTATGAAAAGTGAAACAATGTACGAAAGATAGATTTGTTATTTTGACGTCTCAGTAGGTAATGTAAAATTATGACATACAAATAAAGTTACATTAAGCATGTAATTTTACACATTTTGTGTAATTTACCCAATACGGAAATTTGCATTATCGATATATGTATATTTACGACGCCCAATTTTTCTCATAATATTCAATAATCGTAAATGTAGATATACCGAGAGGTTTAGGTATCTGTATAATTTACATGGTCACATTATTTATTTATGTCGGTATTTATTTATAACATTATATTTAGGTAGTTAATATAGCTATGCTATGTTATTACGGCACAAATGAATGTAAACATGCCTATTGAATATCAAGCACATTTCTCCACATGCGCGCGGTGATCTGATTGGTTGAGCCAAATCAGGTCATGTAAATTCACACACTTTTATTCGTATATTTACAAATATAGTAAAAACACATAAAGGGTAATGAATAATACATTTTAAAATATAAAAGTACAACGTTAAAGGTAACAATACATCGCAAAAAGAAAAATACACTCAAATGTATAATTTTGTACAATTTATCATGTATGTTCAATTCATTTACATTTTTCGTGTATAAACACCATCAAAATTTTCAAAATGCCTTTGTAAATTTCCACAATTCTATTATTGTAGCATAGACTTAGAAATTACAAATGAAACGACAGTTTCAAAATTAAATGATTATTTTCTACTGTACCACTCTCAAAAGACTTTATGGCACAGTCACCTGAAAAGTAAAGTCTGCGTTTTGTAATACATCATAAACAAATGCTATCAAAAAATTTTACAAAAGTTGCTAAATGTGCAGCAATCGCTATATTGTATGAAAGTTAATGCTCATGATTTTTCAATATTTATTAGAGGAGCTGGTAAGTAATATTAAGTAGTAAAAATTAGCCAGTTTCACAAAATTTCTAAAACAAAACAAAGGGGTATTGAAAAATAAATAGCATTTATGATAACGTATCTTAATTCTTTGTTCATTTAAAATTCTAGGGATGTGACTTAAGGGTTAAAGTTAGAGATGAAGGGATGTCAAAAAATGTTCTCAAAGGAAAAACGAAAAATTGTTGTTTTCCTTTATTAGATTAGAAATGGGAGAACTTGTATGTATGTATATGCTACATTCTTTGTACATTTATCAAAACTTATACAAACTCAATTATTATTTCAGTAATTCTACATTTTTCTGGGTTTCTGAAATAGTTTAATGTATTAATTTGTTGTTGTATTATTTGTTTATTAGGCTAGTTTAATTATGTGTTTAACAAACTCTTAAATACGATAGTAATATTTCTGCCTGTCACTAAATCTGATACTTGGAATAAGAGTGAACCATTTTTTCATTCACTATTTTAACAAATAGATTTAAAGAACAGTAGAATAAAGCAAGTTATTTACTTTGTATTTGTAATTTGGAAAATACAGTACAATTTTATTAATAATTCCTGATATTATGGCTATACTCTGATGCGGTAAATTTTTTAATTGCGATTGCTATATTTCAGCTACATGATTCAGATAAAATTTTTTTCGTATTAATTTTTTTTGGTATTAATTTTTTTATGTAGTCTGGCAGATACGTCAAGTTTTTTCAATTGTTTTTGGAGTGTTTCTGGTAATGGCCAATTTGACAACAGGCCTGATACCAGAAAAACTGTCCAAAAAGTAGAAAATTGCAAACATCTCTAAAAGTATAGTTACGACAACCTTATATGGGTTGTATATACCTATGCTTATATGGGTTGAAAGGAAATTTCAATCTGCATATGACAGAGTAAAAAGTTATGTAAAATGTAACAGCAAAAATGAGACACCTAATATTAAATGTTTTAATTTGTTGGTTTTAATAAATGTTTTAATTTGTTGGTATTTAGTATTACTTATGCCCTTTATAGGTACCAAAAATACACTTGATATAATGCTCCTGAAAAGAGTTACTAGCATCTCAGCGGACCTTTGCATCTGTCAATTTTTTTCTTTAAATATTAATATCTCGAATTCTATAACCCCTAGGTATAGGGAATGTTGGGAAGTGCCACTCAAATTTCATGTAGAATCCGAAAATGCATTAATATATAGGGTGTCCCATTTAAAATAACGAAGTTGGTGTCGACTTCCGGTATAACCGGAAGTGCCGAAGAGTTCTAGATATTTTAGTTGTGTTCGCCCTAGGGGCATTGCCATGTTGCCATCTTCAATCTTCAAATTTTCCAGAGGAGTACTTTCTTAGATATCGATCGACGCAGTTCTCGGTGGGACCTTGTAAACGTAATTTTTTGTCCAGGATCTAAGTAAAATCTAAGCAAATTAGAAACAACATATCTTCACTGTACCAGTTATATAAGTTTTCTTCAGGGTATAAGACAACTTACAATACATTGAAAATAATGAAAAAAGCATATTTTTACTCTGCATTTTATCTGGCCTTTCTTGAATTTTGCACGCCTGTTGAACATACAGAAACATGCTTACGATACTATAAAAATAATCACATCCCGCAGAATGCTCTTAGGGAACTATTACCACACACATTGTGCAAAACCATACTTATCGTATCAACTTCGACGTCACCTGTTACATGGGTGTTGTATAATAATGAAAACGTAATGTTGACAGTTGGTAGAAGGGAGCGCAGAAACAAACGCTTAGGTGGGGAATTCTGGAAGGAAGCCTTGATAGTTGAAGTGAAAACAGAGTGGAGATGGGTAGTGAGACGATCGGCTGGCGCTGTGGCAAAATAGTGAAAAATCAAAGTGTTAATTAAGTACTTTGTTGTTAATTGTTCTATGTAATCTTATGATTGTGATGATTATAGATGTTTAATAATAACAATTCTTCTCTGTACGTTTAGCTTCCATTGCTTTATGTTCAAGGGCATATATTTTTCTAAGGTAAAATCGATACAATTATTATTAGCGATTGCTCATTATTTATTACATGTTAATATATATATATATATATTGTCGTGACTGCCCAGATATTGCAATAACAACTCCTTTGTTTCACATTTAACTTGTTTTGTCATGATTAAATTGTTTGAAAAACAAATAATAAAGCGTTTCTTGTGCTCACTCATCACTAATTCGAGTGAGGTAACATTTAGTGACACATTAAATAAGTCGGGTGTTATTTATCATTAGCGATCATTAGCAAAGGATCTTAATTTATGTCTTTTGTTAGCGGTTGTTTTGTATTTACATTTGGGTAGTTAGAGCAACGATCGTGGGTTTCTCTGCCATGCTCTTTCCCCTCAGAAGCTCTAGGTGAGCCTGGCACTCTCATTTTATGTTAAATGGTTGTTAATGTTTTGCTGTTCTTTCTATGTTACATGTTCAATTTGAAGACTGTTATACGTAAATAATAAAGTTAGGTGTATTTACTCTGCTTTTGTTTTATAAAATTAAACTATACTTCCCCTCTTTAAAGTTAGTAGCCAGCGCCTTCCGGTCAATTAACAAAATAGATACATACAACGTAGGTATTCCTTATGACGATCACATATTTTTGGCCACAACAACGTTTATTTTTTTTTTCGATCGAACCCGGGGTTGTTATACTACAACATTAATACCATTAATCGCCACGGTAGCGCAGTAATCGCCACGGCAGCGCAGTCGGTCGAGAGTGCGGTGGCAAGCATTTCTCGGCTAGGCTTCCTACTCTGGTCCGGGTTCGATCCCCGGTGTCGGCACTGGTAATGTCGATGGATAATGGGTGTTTGTCCAAGTTTTTTCAAGTGTAGCCCCCTTCCGCACAAGCCTTTGGCTTTTGGATTTGGGGGTTGTCTCATTTCTGTGATGTGTTTTTTTTATTATTGAGCATCTTTACAAATTTGCTGGACAAAACAGGAATGGTATGCTTTCTGATGTTTACATGTTCTCCGTGATGTTTTAATGCGAAAAATTAAAGGAAGTTCTATCATTGTTTTACTAAAAGTGCGATTTCTTGTCTATAAAATGCCAGCAACATATTATACATTCGTTTCTATTCATTTTCAATTTTTTTATATCACTTGTGTTATTTAATTGAAATATGTTTATTCCTTAATAGTTATTAATTATAGTGGAAGGTTCGGATTACAAAAATGATTG